CCCTTGGATGCATGGCTTTCTAATACTTGGTCTCTTGAGAAAACACCCTTTTATGTCCTAGCTCTTGGCTTGGACAAACAGAATAAACCCAGCATAGATAAGAACAGAGGGATATATTTATGAAGCCTGATCTTAGAGTTCAAAAACATCCACTAACACACACAACTGTAGAAAGCACACTTTTCTCTTAAAGGATAAGTATAACCTGTCATTGAGATCTGGTATTTTGGGAATAAACTATAGAATTGCATAAATAGTATAAAACTAGTCAGGAAATTTCATATAAAATGGAACTGTTTGCCCTAGCTGGTTTGGCTCAGTGGATAGAGCGTCGGCCTGCGGACTAAAGGGTCCCAGGTTCGATTCTGGTCAGGGGCATGTACCTTGGTTGCGGGCACATCCCCAGTGGTGGGTGTGCAGGAGGCAGCTGATCGATGTTTCTCTCTCATCGATGTTTCTAGCTCTCTATCCCTCTCCATTCCTCTCTGTAAAAAATCAATAAAAATATATTTAAAAAATAAATAAAAAAATGGAACTGTTTTGTGATAGGGGAGTCCATTCACTTAAAGGATGAACATTTTATCTTAATTATACCTGTCTTTATCAAATAGGAATATATATTAAATAATAATGATATAAGAGCAAGAAATTTTTGTTAGTGTTGTTACTGGATATAAAGCTGACCTAAGAAGGTTTAGATTATCTTAGATTTGACATATACCAACCTCTTACCACATGTCAGGACTTGGTACTCAATAGTCAGTGAAATAAGTCAGTCAGAGAATGACATAAATGATTTCACTTATATGCGGAATCTAAAGAACAAAATAAATGAACAAACAACATTGAAACAGACTCTTAGACACAGAGAGTAGACTTGTGGATGCCCTAGGGGAACAGTGTTGGGAGATTGAATGAAAAAGGCGAAGGGATTAAGAACTATAGATTGGCAGTTACAAAATAGTCATGGGGATGTAAACTACAGCATAGGGAATTTAGTCAATAATGTTGTGACAACTATGTATAGTGCTAGGTGGGTACTAGAAATATTGGGGGGGAACACTCTGTAAAGTATATGTTTATCTAATCACTATGCTAAAACCAATACAAAATAGTATTGAAAGTAAACTGTAAGTGAAAAATTATAATAAAAATAAATTAAATAAAGAATTCTTGTTTTTCAAGTTTGTTCATTTCTCATTCACTTCACCGTTTTGTTTCTACCTGACCCATTGTGTTTTGTTTGTATCTTTTACAGAGAAGACATCTTCTTGCAAAGTAGCTGTTCATTCATTCACTCACTCAATCACTTTTCCATCAAGTTATTTACTAAGCATCTGCTATATTCAGGTTCTGGAAGACAAAAATGAGAATGATTTGATCCCTGCTATCAAAGGGATCATGATCAGATAAGGAAAAGAACTATAGGGAATATAAACAGAGAATGTGATAAGTGAAGACTGCAGATGGCTGGAAATCTGACTCTTCTAAGCTAGGCATCTCCTTAGGACTACATAACATTTTAGTTGGGTCTTAAAGTGTTAGTAGGACTTTAGCAGGTGAGAAAAGAGAAGGGAAGGAGAGAGGAGAGATAGGAACAACCAGGAAAAGAGAATATTCTGCACAGAAAATATAGTATTAGCAAGTTGGACAAGTAAAATGGGCCTGTATGTTCACTTGGACAGTCAGCTCAACTCTTTTCCATAACAATTAAGACAATTAAGAAGTTAAGTATATATATCATATATTTGTTAAAGCCAGTAGGATATATAATAATTAATCACTTGTGTGTCCTCAGTTAAACAGGTTTCTAAAGTCCTTCTTGGTAGGAATATTTGATTTGACTCATTTGAGGACTCTGGAAAATTAAAATAGCTGGATTAAGTAAGCCTATAGAGGCCTCATCAATATTCTTATATTTGATAAAGTTAAACAACAAGCAAGTTACATCAGGAAAGTCATACTAACATTTTGCATAATATTTAGTATACATTTCCATTCAATATTTCTTGCTCAGAAGAAACTTTTCAGAAGAGCCCCTTCCATCAGTTTTAGTTAGATTCCTGCACATTCATTTGTTTCCTGAATCTAGTTCTCTTTCTAAATGTTCAGTGCCTTTCTGAGTTTATGCCTCCAGAAATATCAGCTCTTCCCTGGCCAGCCCCGCCTCCTGCCTGTTCTCATCACCTCCTTCTTGCAGAGAAGTGTAAGATCTAGATTTGCTTTCACTTGAGTCGTCACTGCAAAAAATCTACCCCTGCTCTGCTGAGCCTATCTCATTCATTTATCCATTCATTCAAAAATACTTATTGAGTACATATTTATTAACACTGTATCAGGTACTAGAGATAAAATAGTGCACAAGGTTAGATAAGATTTCTCCTATTTTTTTTATAATTAGTTCCAATATTGTTTCCAGTGGAAGTGGGTCCTTGTGGTGTCACAAGAAAAACATTTTCAAGGACCCACAAGAGAGGATGAGGTCTAAGGTAAGATTTATTTGGGTGAAAATAAAAGGTGGCCCTTGGGTTTCCAATGCCTCATCTCTTGTCTATCCCGCCATGGAAAATCAGGGCCAGAAATAGGGCCAATGTCCAGGAATCCTTTGCCATATTAAAGCTTTGTGCTTTGAATCCACCTGGTCCCAGGGCACAGACAGCTGCTAAGTGGTTTCAGTCTTTGTCCAGGTAGCTTAACACTGTCCCAGGCCGTGATCCGTTGCTGTGCTGTTGTACCTAGGCTTCTGCCTGGAACCTGGGTTTAGTGTCTGAACCACCATCAACCACAAGGCTGCTAAGGCCACATGGTGACTATGGAGAGAGCACCCAATGAAGGGGGCAAGGGAGTGGAAAGAGAGCTCTTTGTTCCCTGGCTTGAAAAGGACCAGGAACTTTTTCAAAATAGCCAATCGACTTCCCAAGCTTTCCTGGACGTGTGCTGGGCCCACTTTCCAACCACGCTATTGTTTCCCCAAGCTAGACTGACAGGTCTCTGTGGTTGCCATCTGGCTTCTATTGCATGTGCTTACTTCCCTCTGGGTTTTGTTCCTTCCCTCAGTGATCTGCTGGAAAGGACCCTGGGTTCCCTGGAGAGTGTGTGAAGCTGTAACTTCCTGATGAAACAAGCAGGATTGGGATCTGTGTCTGATTCAGCTCCCCAGCCCATTAGGCTCAACAATGTCCGATTCCCTTTGCTTTCTTTATTAATACCCATCTACCTATGCTAACAATATGAGACAACTGCAATTAAATAATTCACTTATACTATACCCAAACTCCCCAAGTTGCCAAAAAATGAGTATAGTTGACCCTTCATCAATGAGCAGGTTATAAGCACCTACCACCAGCACAGTTGAAATTTTAAGCATACATGGGTTCCCCTCTAGCATACATGGGTTCCCAGCCTCAGAGGAAAATACATATTCTTTATTTTCTAAAGAATAACATTCTTGAATTTTCTGTAAGATCTATGGCAGGTTGGGTAAGATTACTATATTGAAAAAATAAAAGCATAGTTTATAGAATAGGAGCAATGAAGTCAGTTTAGAAGGCAGGAGAATACTAAAAATCATCAATCTTTTTTTAAAAAACACTTTGATCTGCTTAAACTAAGTAGCTTCATTAGTTCCAGATGCTGTTTATTATTGTGGTTGTTGGCACATTTTCAAAATGCTTAAAATAATTTTATGAGGATTAAGTTTGCAAACATAAAATCGGTTTAATATATTTGAATTTGAAAATAAAATGGGATTTCAATATAAAGAGCTCTGTATATTTTTCTAAAATAGGTACAGAGCAACATTTAAAACATCCTGGCATCTGTCTGTGAAAATTCATACTAACATTGCCATAGTAACAGACGCTCCAAACTTTCACATAAAGTGTATGCAATTACATGTATTAAGTATTATGAACACAACTAGAGGCCCGGTGTGGTCCCTCGGCCTGGCTTGCACCCTCTTACAATCCAGGACCCCTTGGGGGATGTCAGACTGTGGTTTCGGCCTGATTCCCGCAGGCTAGGCCAAGGGACCCCGCCAGTGCATGAAACCGGGGCCCTTAGTACACATATAAGATCTTTGGTTAATTTCTTCCCACCCTCCCCCCTCGCCCCTTCCCTCTGAGATTCATTAGTCTGTTCCATGTTTCAGTGCTTGTGCATTGAGCATCTGCCCCCTGTTGGTCAGTGCACGTCACAGCTACCGGTCAAATGGTTGTTCGGTCGCTTAGACTTTTTTATGTATAGGTATGATGATATTTTTTTTGACAATTCCTTATTTCTGGGCTCAGTTCCTCTTGTTTGTCATGAGTGGTTCCTTTCATTTATTAAAAACATCCAAGGTGGTATATTCTTTAATTACAAGCATTTTACCAATTCCTTCTGAATTTAAACCTATCTCTCATAGGAACTGAATCTCATTAGTGTTGAAATCTTTCTCTTAAATTATCTAATTAGTTAATTAATCATTCAGTCATCTATCATATATTCAGGACTGAAGCAAGCACACCAAAGGATACAGAAGAAATAGGGGGAAAAGAAGTTTATAATTATGCAGGCTAAGCCCGTATAAAATAAACCATACTGTATTAACCACAGTCCTTGAGTGCAATAGAAAGAAGGGGCGCAGAGAAAGTTGGATAAGGCAGGCCTTGAATTGGGCTTGGGAGGATAGAAAAATGTTTGAGGGTAGAAAAATGTGGTGAGCTCCTGTTACCAGTATCCTTTTCTTAAATGGAAAGGATTCTTTCTTTCTCTTCTTTCTTATATGCTATTGCTGAACCTTGATTTTTGCTCATTTATTTCCAGAGACTCACATTCTAATTATTGTTTTTAAGCTCTGGAAAACCATGGAAAAATGACACAGGCTGTGAATGCTCAGCTCAGCATCTCCCAGATATTTGAGAAGGAATCACATTTACACTTGTACAATGATATAGAAATACTATTTAACACCCCAAATTTGTCTTCTATTTCTAGATTTAGGTTTATGTACTTTTTTTTTAAATATGGAAAGCTTCATGAATTGGTGTGTAATTCTTACACAAGGGTCGTCCTAATCCCTGCATCATTCCAATTTTTTAGTATATGCGCTGCCACCGTGAGCACTCTATGTTTTATCTGTGAAAGACGATTGGCAAGATTGACAAACCGAACTTTGGGAAGCAAACTAAATCGGAGACTGTGAGAATGTGAAGGATTCTCTGCAGACTGTCCCAGGGAATGTCAGATTATGCAATAGATCTCAGGATTGATGTTTATAGTAGTGCATTAGAAAGGAACTCTGAAGGCAGGTTTGGGGATCATAGATCTCTGATTCTAGGATTAAGAACTCATGTGCAGGGGAGAATGATAAATGGTAGATGATAACTGGGTAGAATGTCAGGCTCACCATAGTGAAAGACACACTGAGGTGCATGCCTGCTTTAGCATTTAAGATTGGGTAGGATAGGCTTACTCTTACTGTTTAGAACGGGACTATACTATAGTTCAGAAATGGGAGATATATCCCTGGGGAAAAGGTTTGGGTTTCCAAAAGATTTCGTTATAAATATAAAAATATTCAGTTGTCTAAGTTTGTAGATGTTCACACTTAAAAACCAGCTCATCCGGAGCGGGTTCCTTCTCTTTGTCATCAGAGTATGGGCTACTTCAGTGAGCCAGGAGGTGCGCTAAACTGGACAGCCCTATAAGCAGACAATTAGAACAAAATGTAATCAGTGCTGTAATCAAAACATGAGTCAAGTGCAATGAAAAGAGCAATTTCTTGGAGTAGGCTCCATTGGCAGCTTGACTCAGGCAGTGCCATTTAGACTAGAGTTCTCTGGGTAGACAGGAGGAAGAGTGTGGAGGAACCCTGGAAGGACATGGCTGGATCAGAATCCCCACATGGGAACTTTTATTTTGTCCGATAATTTTCATGTAGGATGTAGCTAAAATTATTATTTTATTGTGTAGCTTTATGAGCCAATGATTATTTTCTAGAAAATTCCAGGAGCATTGGTTGGCGGGGAGTTCGTATCATTTCAAGCTACCCTACTAGGGAAGATCAGAGAAGTTACGTGGTTCTATAGAGCAGATAAGACATAAATATGAGTTGCAAATGACATTTCTTTTGTCTTCAAGTTTCATTAAGAAATATAATTTTAAAAGATGATATGATTTATTTATAAAAATTATATAAGGCTGCATAGGTAAAGAAAAATGTCATCAACAATGAAGTATTAAGAGTGGGAAACAATGCATTTGTTTTCATTACATCAGATAAATGTGGAATGAAATGCTAATAAGAATGGGTTTCCTTATAATACCTTGGCAACCCCAACTGCTTTTCTTTATTGATATTAATTTACCACTAAATTGAAAACAATTTTCTAAAAATTAAATTTAAATTAACTAAAAGGTTTTCACTTAACATGAGTGAATCAAACAGTTCTGAAATTAAACTTGAGAAAAAATAAAAAGAATATACATAAAATAAGCAAAATTAGAAAAAAAAATACTATGAGGCTCTATTTTTCTTTATTTGCTCCTTTGAAGTCTGGTGCTCCACAATTTGTTCACATAGTCTTTACTAATTCATATGGAAGAGAAGAGTAAAATAATAAATATACATTTAAAGTTACATTAAGCTTGGAGGTCACTCTCATGATTTGGTTATAGATGAAATGGGAATGTCCCTAGGAACATGTCCTGGTTCCACAATGAGGAATTAGTGGTAAAAATCAATAACTGTGCCTCTAGTTTATATTATGTATACTGTAACTTTCTTTTTTCCTTTTTTCTCTTTCATTCAGTCATTCATCTATATCCTCTTCCATTCATCTGGATATATCACCTATTGATGTTTTACTGATTTCTGCTATTTCTCATATTGTTCTTGGTGTAATAATCTCCAGTCCATATTTACCACTATTTTCTATTCAATTTAGGCTCCTGATGAACATTTCTGACTGACCTATGCTTAAATTTGATCCCTCATACTTTCTACCCAGGCAAAGTACTCACTTTATATTACTTGGTCTAAGAAATAAAAAATGAAAATTAAAGAAAAATAAATAAAATGGGAAGGATGAAGGTTCGGAGCATTTGAGCATGCATGTCCTTATATGAGTGTGCTTAGAAACATGATGTGTTCCTTCTGGTAGAATTTCTCTGATACATTTGTTATTGTGCAATCTCTATTTTCCTATATGAGGGTAGTCATTTCTATTTTCTGAAGGCTTATTTCATAGGAAGTAAGAAATTCAGTCAGAAATGGATAATTACAAGTAAAAGAATATATCAAACCCATTTTTATAATTGGGTTCAATAAAATTGCTAAACATGGCCATTTTAGTGCTAATTTCTTTTTTTTTAATAGGATGTACAGAAGGTATCTGATTTATGTAACTTGCAGAATCCTTTATAGATATTAACTTATTACTAAAAGAAACCCTAGCACTGTCCCTTCTGGAGAGAGAAGGAACTCTGCTTCCTTCATGGTTGAAAGCCCCACTGTGGCCATAGCCTCCTACCCTTTTCATGTTAGCACAGTGCTGTGGGGAATGGTTGTGTTCTCTATATTGTGTTAGTGTGTATGCATGCTTGTGTGCACACGTGTGCATACATGTGTACACATGCATATTTGTAGGGGCAGGAGAAGGTGTCTGTGATAGCAGTGGTTTTGGTGGGGAATATGAAATATGATTTAAAATCTCAAAATCATATAGTTATATGTTACAAATTTATTATAAATCTACCCAGAGCTAGAACCATCTTTAATTAATCTCCTCCTTTGGGGAGCTAAGCCCTTTTACTTGTCATATTGGCCTCTTAACAGATTTCCCTGCTCCCAATCTCCATGTTTGTCTACCTGTATTTCATTCAATGAACAGGGTTCTCTTCATGAAACAGATGCATTTCAATCCTTGTGTTGAAAGCCTTCTGTGACTCCCATTTGCTCTAAGATAAAACCCACACTCTTAGCAGGTGATTGCAAGTCATCCACAATCTGCTTCCAATCAATTTTTACAGCTGTATCCTTTATTATTATTCTCCTCTGCCTTTCCCTTAGTCCACATATCAGTGCTAGGGCTAGAGCAGACTCTCCTTGTTCCCAGAATGAACTTTCATGACTGCTGCCCAGCCTCCATCAGCCCATGAGGCAAGCCTTTCCCTTCACATTCATTTTTTTGAAATGTTACTCATCCCTCATGGCCTAGTGAAATGTCCCCTTCTCTCCTAGATTTCTGGCCAAATTTCTCATTCCCTCATCTGTGGGTTGCAGCACTCTGTTTTTATTTCTATTGTAGCAATGGGGATTTTTATCTTGGATTTTATGGAAGAAATCTGATTTCCAATAATCTATCCTGTTGTCAGTATTTCACTGGATTTGGTTCTGAATGTATGTTCCTGATGTTTGTGACATTTATATTATGCCTGATATGTATATGTGTGTATATATATACTAGAGGCCTGGTACACAGGGACTGTGCCCTGGTTGGGGGTGAGGCCTGTAGGGATTGGCCCGCTGTGGGAGTGCCGCTCTACCCAGTTAGCTGAGTGGCGCTCCCACTGCAGGAGCACACTGACCACCAAGGGGCAGTTCCTGCACTGAGCGTTGTTCTGGTCATTCCACCGTTGGGTTGCTGGGCTTTTATTATATAAGGTATCTGAGTTTTTACCTCCTTAATTTTATCTTTCTGGGAAAAATAAGTGTGCAAGTAAATCATTATTTATAAATTAAGTGATGTGTCTTTTCCTTTCCATTTCCCAAATGTAGTCCCCTGCGTGTTAAGCAAAGGCCAAATCTCTTTCTCTCCTCCCTCTCTTTCTCTCTCCTTTCTCTTATGTTTCCTGACAGCCCCTAGTCCCATTTATATGCAGAGTAAGGACTCAATAATTAGGAGTTAAATTGAAATGATTCAATAAAACAAAAAGGTGGTTAACTTCTACAGTGTTAGTGTCTCTGAGGTCCCGCCTGTGAAGAAGTTGGATGATTACAGCAGGATGTGGGTGAAGTCCTGGCCTGTGTAATGCAAGTCAATGTGCTAGTGCTGAGAACAGCACCTGGCCGATGTCAGGTTCGGTGTCATTATTTGAAGGCAGCCATCAGGCTGTCTTCCTCTCTAGGTTAAGTATCCTCCTTTAAACGATTTCCAGACCCCTGCTCTGCTCTGTGCCTTCCTCTAGATTATTTCTGACTCCCTAATGTTCTCCCAAGAATCAGATGGCCTCATTGCATCCCAGGCTAGTGAAATTTAAATAGGGAGAAAAGAGATATCACCTCCCTTTTCCCCCATCAAAAGTTAATCTCTAAAATTTAGCACTTACTTTCAATTACAAATGTAGGCAATAAACTACAGTAGTATTAGCAATACTTGTGACTTTGTAACTAAGAGAAATCAAATACTTTTATACCACATTATAGTTGCTATGATATTTTATAAGCTCATTTCCATTTTAAAATAAATTTTTGGTATTGTACCCACTGCTAGATTATATATGAATATATCACAATATGTTTTCCATTTTGGTAATATATTTTAATATAATTCCCTTCGTTATCTTCTGTATTTTATGCACTTAAAACCATTATTCTGGGAGGTACTCTTAACCATACTGCCAAATGGCATGAAAAAAATTTAAGAATAATACACAGTCTCGTAAAACTTAGAGCACCTGGATAAAAATATAACATTTACTTCCATTAATTCAGACTTATACTGAATTTCCTTTATGTTTTAATTATTATAAAAATAATATATATCCACAGCTTCATATGGCTGAATAGTTTACAAAATGCAGCATCCAAGTCACTGCATCCTCATCTAATTCAGAAAGATAACCGTTGTGACTTATTGTGGGTATTTTTCCATATATTGGCTATACATATACCCTAAAATATATCTAGATATAGATTTAGATAGAAAGATATATATATATATATATATATATATATATATATATATTTACTACATATATAGATGACAGATAGATGATAGATATATAGATAGATATTTACTACACTGTCACATAATTCACAATGTTTTATGCAAACTGCTCCATTGACCTTTAAGTAGCTAAGTCATTCTCTAGGCTCACATTGGTTTTGTAATCAAGCAACT